TTCGGGTCCAATTTTTCTCTTTTATGGATTGAACCTGTCAACTTCTGTGCGGGTTGTCGACAAGGAGGATCGGGTTCCGTAGGCTTTATGGCCCTTTGATAGTAAATTCTCATTGTTTATAAGCCTTGAAGGCCTAATATGAATGTATTAAGATAAAATATAACGGTCACCATAATCATAATATTTGTTTGTTGGTTCGAACCGCTATCGACTCTATTGACTCGATAGAAAGGAATCGGGGTTCGAACTTGAATTCCCTTGGTCACCCCCGCGCAAGCATCCCTAGTACGTCACATGTGTACAATAACACGCTCGCGGGGCTGCATCGGCGGGTTTTTAATAAAATTATTTTTACCCCTTTAGGTGTACCTATGTGTATACAATTTATAGTGGCACGTGCAGGGGTACTTTGGAAATAATTGTAGGACGCATTCTTGTCTGGCTAGTACGAAATGTTGCAAAGATCCGCGTGGCAATGATGTGCAGCTTCTAGATAGAATTGTTCGCTGCTTTCGTACAGGTAGCTTGTTCGTGCACCTAACTCGTTGCTTTCTCTAGGTGGATTCGTAGTGCACTAAACTGATCTCCTGCTTTGGTGTTTTGTTGATGCTTATATTCAATTGTAGTTCTTTGACATTTGCTTATAGATAATGTTCTAATGTGTATAAACGAAATTTCCCAGAATGACTCGTATTGAGCTTTGCATTTGTTGTAGTCTACTGCTCATTGTAGTACATCCGTCATTGTTATGCAGTGGAACCAGGTAGAATTGTATTCCTTCACAGACTGAAATTGACTTCAGGATACTACATTTTACTGAATTCTTTCTGCATCTTACATTCTGGGTGGATGTTGTAGCATACTATCGTATTCATAGATGATTTTGTATGGATTTGCAGATCTTCTATAAGGACTTGAAGGAATTCGTATTGTTGCTTGTGAGTAACCGACATTTCACATTCTATTCGGGATTTAATGAATGACCTTCATTTCATTCATTGAACCTCTTTATTTGCAGGGGATACATGTCTTCTACGACCAACCTCCTAGAAGTATTTTGTAGAGAATCAATTGCTTTCTGCATCCGAAATCCACACCATTTCCACCAATCTTGCGGGTGGTTTATAGATTGTATTTTGTAGAGAACAGATCATATTTGATACGGGCTTTTAAAAGCATGCCGTAGGAAAGTCATTTGCACCAGTACATATCGGCGATTGTACTTGCTTGGCAAAGACGGATCTTCTACTATCAAGTAGTAAGCTGTCTTCTCAATCTACAGGCAATATTTGCTAAGCATTGGAGGTTTTCAATGATGTATTTGGGGAGACATACACATTTAAGCCAACCGATTCGTTGTCCTTGTGAGTTACATGCATTTAACTTTTAATAGGAGCTATTGTAAAGAGTCTCATTGTAACACATGAACTGTCACTTCTTGTTGTTATGTCGCCTGATAGTTCTTGCACGTCTTCACGGCATGTTAGTTTGAGTTGAACGATTGTATTTATTTAATTGGAGTTCTATCAAGTCCCCAAGCACAATATCAAGCTCAAAGTTCTAGTCCCTTGTAGTCTGAATCCTTCAAGTTCAAGTACATGTTTCGAGTGCTTGTTCAGATAGCCTTTGAAATTTCTGCAATTGTAATTTTTTCAATTAGTGAACTTGAATTTTGGGTTTCAAAACTTTGTTTTGAATTTTGATCTTTTATTAATCATTTTGAGTTTTGTTCTGATTCACAAAAATCCACAGTTCATTTGAGGTCCACATCTTTGTTCTTTTGAGTATCAACAGGTCCAGGTACGATTTCACCCAAATTTCGGCAGCCTCCCGGCGTCTCCCCACTTTAGGGAAAAACTACGAGAAAACTGGGTCTTTCCCACCGACGCGCAATAAAGGCGTGTATGGTGGTGTCCTCTGCGAGAACACCGCGGCCGTGATTTTTTGTTCCTCCACCACGCGCATAAAGGCGTGTATGGGGTCTTTGCGCGGTACTGTTTAAATGACACAATTTGTTTTCCCCCCGCTCGGGCGGTACTTATAAGTGAACCCGGCCTCGCCGTATGGTGCGCACGCGGGGTCCCTTCCCCACCACGCGCAAAAGGCGTGTATATACGGCGTTTTCCGGTGCGCACACGAACGCTGAAGTAGATGTTTAGGCGATTGCTCGCTTCCGTCGTAAGCATCAGAACCGGCGTTCTCATCCTACCACGCCAATAACGGCGTGTTAGAGTTTTCTGGTCTGCTGCAAAACAACGATGCGAGAATCTGAGTTTTAGAGAAGTTCGTACCTTCGCGGCTTCGATGTGGCGGTTTAAAGATGCACAGTTTTGCTTTCCCCGCTCGAGGGTTACTTATGAGTGACCCCCGCCCCGCAGTAGGTGCCGCAACCGGGGTCCCTTCCTGTGAGACCTCGTTCCCATCTTATGGTTCCTCTCAGATTTGATTTTCCTCTCAGGATCGTCCAGCGACGATTGGAAAATCGTCCAGGCCGATTGGCACTGTAAGAAAATATTGGCCTGAGAAAGTTCTGGAATCGTCCGACGATTTTTTCTGGTCCCCTGTCGTCCCGGGACGATTTGGCGATCGGCCGGGCCGATCAGACAACTGATTTAAAAAGAAATCAGCTTCGTTTTGATGAGAGAGAAAGATCTTTTTAAAACTCAAAATATCTGTTTTAGAGAGAGAAAGAAGAAAAAGGGAAAAAGAGGAAAGCTGGGTTTTGGAGGCCGCTGAGCGCTTTCGTCCGACGCTGCTGGTTGGGAAAAGTGAAGATCTCGTGTAAGGACTGCGGAATCCTAAATTTCTGTTTTCAAAGATATCGAGTTTTTGACCGAGTTGTGATTTTGTTTTGTGTTTTCCGTAATCAGACTTTTCGACGTGATTTCTTATTGACACTAACTTTCTCACTGCACAAACTTTTATACGTATGATTGATGATTTTGTTACAACGATTTGACTGTATTCTATCAGAAGATTTTACCGGTCGGAATTGATTCTACGCGTTTTTAATCGAAATAGAAAATTATCAAGGACTTGATTTGATTTGAATGGAATGAAGATTATGGGTAATAAGAGAATTGATTTCTTAATTAGGGCAATAGTCTTGTATTGATGTTATAAGATATCTACTGTAATTTAGAAAGATTTGGAAATTGTGCCTTTTTGCAGGTCTTTGTGGTAAAGTCGACTGACTGCCGTTAACGCTGCCCGATTTTCGTAGATTTTCGATTTGTTTGGAATGAGTAGATTAGATTGATGTGCTTATGAGTATTTGATAATGGTGTTTATATAGATTGCATAATATTGAATTATTAAACTGGATTATTGTACGGGAAACACGTATAGCTGGTTGAACATGGTTGGAGAGATATTTGACCTGTACAGGATGGTGGGCCGACGGGCTTCCTTTAAACCATGAATCATTGATATAGATTGGGAGTCATAAGGAGTTTATAGAAATGCCGACGGTGGCGAAAAAAGAGTGACGACTCTTATTGATAGAACCATTACGGAACTTAACAACAACATATGGGATTCTCAACAAGCAATGACCAGTTGATTATACTTGTTCCGTATATAGTATGAATTGCATTGTTTACTGTAATGGCTTTATGAATTTATTGTTTTTATAGATTTTTCTAGGCTTTATCGACTTTGATCGGATTTACTAGTTCGTACGATTTTATTGATTTTACGATTGATTGCTGTGCATCGACATGGCATTGATAGAAATGATGGATGATATAGATATTGCATTGATAGCCTGGACAATTGAATAGTATGAAATCATTGATACTGTGCCTATAGATTCATTGATTTCTTCTATACTACTGCCTAGGGATTTATTATTTTGTATCTAGATTTCATTGCTTTCCCTCGTATTGATTTCATTGATAGATATTAATTAGACCGCATTGATTTTGATTGATAGCGATTTGATTTAACCAGGATGATCTATTCGACGACGTTGATTGAATTTGACGGATTGAATGATATTTCTTTCTGTGTACGGATTTGTTGTACGGAATTTCTTCGAATTGACATGATTGATTGAGCTTGAATTTATCGATTTGCCTGCCTGCCTGCATTGACTGGCTTTATTGACTATTGGATTCGTATTGCATAGATTCATTGACCATTGACTGATATAGATTTTGATTGAACTGTGATTGCATTGACAACTAGCATATTGATAGCATCGCCGTGCTTTGATTTCAGTCTATAGGATTAGGTGACCTGCTGGGCTTTATGTAAAGCCATTATATGGTGGTTGAATATTTTCAGGTCGATGGGCAAAGGGAGCAGAAGATTAGGAATTGATACCGATCTTCGGTTTAGTCTTTTGATTGATTTTGTTCTTTTGTACTCAGGATAGATTTTTCAGAAACTGATGATCTGTAAGTGTAAACGTTCCTGAGTATTGTACATGACCTTTTGAGTTATAGATCGACTTGTATATTGAATGTTTTAAATTTCATAGACTTGTTTGATAGACTACTTAATTGACAAGGTTTTTAGATAACTCCTGGTAAATTATTTTGCGAAATGGATTGACATTCTTTCCAAGTTAGATCTTGGGGCATCACACTTCCCACCACGCGCAATAAAGGCGTGTATAGGCGATTTTTCCGGTGCGCTCACGACACGCGAAGTAGATGTTTTAAGGCGATTCCCGCTCGTCGTAGGCGTCGGACCGGGGTCCCATCCACCACGCACAAATAAAGTGCGTGTATAGACGGTTTTTCCGGTCGCGCCGCTAACTCCGAGGGCGAGAATCTGAAGTTTAGGAGATTTCCTACCTTCGTAGGGTTTGTCGGTGTGGCTCGAGGATCGAGGGAGAGAAAGCTACATTTCATTAATTATATCAAAATCAATTAAATTATAATTAATTAATATTATTCTTATTATCATTTTTTAACTATAATTAATAAATTATTAAATTAATTAAAACAATAAAGTTATAAATTAATTCCTAAATTAATTATAAACTTAATTAATATTAATTAATTCTCCATAAAATATAATTAATCATAACAATTAATAATAATTATTTTATAGATTAACTGAAAATATAATTTTTTAATTAATTACATTTAATTAACATAATTATAATTAATAAAATTATATATATATATATATATTATATATATATAATATATATTATATATAATATATTATATTATATATATAATATATAACCCTCGGTTCGGGAGGATTAACGGATTTTAGGCCGTGGCGGTGTGAGAGGTAAGAAAGCTACCTTCACGCCGGCGAGCTCCTGTTATGGCTTTCCGATCCAATAGACAGGGAATGTTGGTAGGTGTGAGCAAAGTCCGAACAACCACGGATGGAAGCTGAAGTAGCGTCCGAACGGAGAAAGTTATCTTCAACACAGGGAGCCTCCGGTTCTTGGCTTTCGATCGGAACTGGCGTAACTTTCGATTCGGCTGGAAAGGAAGCGTCGGAGCGGGTTCGGTAGAGGTGGAAGGTGCTCTCCTCTCTCTCTCTCTCAATCTCCTCTCATCTCTCTCTCTCTATCTCTCGTCTCTTTCTCACATCTCTCTTCTCTCTCTCTTCACTCTTCTCTCTCTCTCTTCTCTCTCTCTCTCTCTCTCCTCTCTGCTCTTCTGGGCCGACGGGAGAGATGAATCGCAAAGCAGGGGTTTCGGTTTGGCTGTGCGAGGTCGGAGGAGGGCGATGGGGTAGGAGCCGGAGTTCAACGGGATGGGAAGCAGGAGAGAGTCGCGTATGGGAGAGAGGTTTCGTTGCGAGAAGGAGATCGTAAACTGGGCTGTCGGCTTGGGGAGCGTCAGCTGCAGGGAGAAGAGGAGAGGTATCGGGAGAGGAAGAAGTATGCGAAATGGGAACGCTTTTTTGCGATTGAGTGGGGAATTTGCTCGGTAAATTTAAAGACGAGAGAAGGGGAAACGATCGAGAGCTGGATTTTTCGGCATTGAGGATTGCGGAAGGTGCGATGCGAACAGGCGCCGAATGCACAGTAACCCGGCGGAAATTCCTTTGCGGGATTTTACGGGATCTCTTTTGATCGAGACGAGGTATGCAGATTTTTTTGTTCCTTTTTGATAATTACATAGAAGGTAAGCCATGTTGGCTAGTTTCTTAGTGTCTAGGCCGCTGCCGCCTTACATATTTACCATTCGCCTAAGTAACCGTAGTGTCTCCCCAATGGACCCGAACAACTTAGCAAGACTTTAGCTTGTTGGTAGTTCAAATGGGCGCATTACGTCAACATCTCAAGGAAGAATCAAGCGGATTTAGCCGCCTCCATCGTCAAAATAGCAACCGAACGATTTGATAACCTGGAGCGAGGTAGGAACTCAACCCCCCTTACACACCCTCAAGACCCCCTTCAATCAAAGGCTTAGAAAAAAAGCACTAAGATGAAGAGAAATATGTGGATAGAGTTGACAAATGGATGGAGGCCAAAATGAAAGCTTTTCAACTTCCACTCATTGTGCAAATCAAAGAGAAATATATAGGTGTGAGCGGAAGAACATGGAAGAAGAAGGTGAATGTGAAAAGGCTTTTACAAGTAAAAAAAGTTGGACGTGTTGTGGAAAAGAATGAATGGGGATTGACAGGGAGAAAGCATGGGACTGCAGAATAATAGTAAGAGAGAGATTTGTTGATTCAATTACAGTCTACCAGCAGCAAATGTTTTCTTCATGACTAAGTAAAAACTCATATAGCTGAGAACTGTAGATGAAGCCTCTAACCAGAAGTGACATCATAAATTCAATATTGGCTCTGTTTTTGCTAGTGAAGCCTTCTTTGAGGGTGAACAAAATTCCTGCAGGTGAGAAGAAGTGGTGACAGATTGGAAGGTGAGCCCTTTAGTTGAGGAAGATTGGCGAGCTAAAGTGCCAACAAGCAAGTTGACCTTGTGGGCAACCGGGGTTGTTTTTGAAAATCTTTAAAAAAAGGCCCATTGGGTTTAATTGTCACTTTTTTGGATGAGAAACTTATGTTTCCAAATTAACAGTCCACGAGTTGTACAAGGAGCAAGTTGTGATGCTAACTCGACGGATGTGGACATCAGTTACAAAGATTTGGCCGCGTCTTATAAACAGGAAGGCGTCGTAAATCGAGCGGCGTTATAATTTAATATCTTAAACCTTATGAGTTATTTCTGAATTTAGGCTCTTATTTTATGTTATTTCTTTATTTTACCCCCTAGGTT